CCCCCCCCCGCAGGCAACCCGGACGACGCATTCTGGCTCGCCCAGACCTTTTTCCTGACGCACCAGTTTGCGCAAGCTGAGCGCATCCTGACGGAACCTTCCCGAGCCGCTTCGACCTCAACGGCGGCACCCGTTCGCTTGACCGACACCTCGCTCGCCTGTCGCTACCTGGCTGCGCAGTGCATGGTCCGCCTCGGCAAGTGGGAGGAAGCCCTCGCCATGGTCGGACCCGAAGGCGGGTTTGGAGGAGCTCTGAACTACAGCTCCGACGGAAGGGGAGATGGGGGTATCAAGGTGCGCCCGATCACGAGGCCCGTGGCGGGTAGACTCGCCTGATTCGACGCCTTCGTACACAGCTCACTGCGTCGGCGGCACACCTGCGTGGCTTGATTCATCTGCACATGAAGGCGAACGACCTGGCGAAAGAGGCGTTCATGGAGGCCCTTTCGCGAGACGTCAAATGCTTCGAAGCGTTTGAAATGCTCGTCGGCGGCGAGATGATGTCCAACGACGAGGGTGAGTCTCTGCCCGAGCGGGCGTGACTGTCGAAGCCACAGCTGACGACCTGGTGCCGCGCAGAATGGGACTTTATCCAGGGCCTGCCGTTTCACGCGCAGACGGAAGACGACGCCGAGTTTGTGCGGATGATGTACACCGTTCGCCTCAAGAAGGTAACATCCGCTTCTGTTTTTGAAAGCCGTGCGCTCTATTACTGAGCACTCTTGTCGAGCAGATCTCCCACCAGACCGACATGGCGATTGCGCGGCAGCGTCTCGCGGCCGAGTATGGGCTCGGGAACGACCCGGACGTCCTCTTTAGCCGCGCGGACGAACTTCATACGGCCATGCGCTTTGCAGAGTGTTACAAGCTCACATCTCAGTACGTTTCCTGGTCTTTTCTTGAGGCCTAGCCCCTGACCCAATTCCCTGCGCGCAGTATTCTCGCGTCGCATCCGGCCCACCGGCCCACGCTGCCGCTTCACCTCTCCTGCATGCATCACCTCCCGAACCTGAGATCTCGGCTATTCTTGCTCGCTCACGAGATGGTCGACAACGAGCCCGACGACGCGATCAGTTGGTACGCCGTCGGCTTATGGTATTTCGCCGGCAAGCGATGGGAAGAGTCGCGTAGATACTTCGGGTGAGTGCGCGCGCGCGAAATTTGGGGAATTGTCTATGGGCGCCTGACCAGGCGCGCATTCGATCTCGCAGGAAAGCAGTCCTCATCGATCCGCGCTTTGGTCCGGCATGGATCGCCTACGCTCACTCGTTCGCCTACGAAGGCGAGCACGATCAGGCGATCACAGCCTACTCGACCGCGCAGAGACACTTGCCCGGCTCGCACCTTCCGCTCCTTTTCATCGGGATGCAGCATCTCGGTCTCGCCAACGTCACGCTCGCGGAGGAGTACCTTCTCGGCGCGCAGGAGATCTGCCCGGACGACCCGCTCGTCCTCAACGAGCTCGGAGTCGTCTCGCTCAACAATGCACAGTAGGCGGCTACCTTGGGGTTTCTTTTTTTGCCTTGACGACCTCAGACTGACTCTGATCCGTGATCCAGCTACGACCGCGCGATAGAATATTTCTTGCAGACCCTCGCGTTGGCCAAGCGCGTGCAGAGTTCGCCCGCCGTGTGGACGTCGACGCACCTCAACTTGGGTCACGCGTATCGCAAACTCGAGTGCGTTCATCCCGCAGTCGGGCGTGTTTCCCGCTTGAGCTGACCGTGTTGATGACTGCAGGCAGTGGCAGCAGGCAGAGCTCGCGTTTCGCAAGGTGATCGAGCTCGACCCACGGTCTGCGGCGGCGTACAGCGCACTCGGCATCGTCGAGCACCACCAAGGGCACTACCAGGAGGCGATCGCTCGCTATCACGAGGTGCGACCTTTCCCCGGGATCCAAAACAGTGACGCCGCAAAAATGTTGACAGTACTCCTCTCTCGCAGGCTCTCGCCATCACTCCAGGCGACCCGGTCGCGTGCGACCTGCTCAAGTTTGCTCTCGACGATGTCGCGGCGCAGATCACCTCGCGCAAGTTCCCCTTCCCCGGGTTGCCGCCGCGGACCTTGCGCAACATTGACGAGCAAGTCGCGGCGCTCGATGCCGACATCTTGGCGGGCGTACCGCTGCCGGGCGAAGAAGATGTTGGCGAGGGTGAGGTCGATGACGAGGAAGAAGAAGAAGAAGAAGAAGAAGACAGCTTGGCATATGAAGGGGAGCTCTCGATTGCGGGATCGTCGGCGGTCGGGATGCAGACGACGCAGAGCGAGGAAGGGGCGTACGACATGAGTCTGGAAGGCGATGCCGTTGAGAACTTGGACGTCACTGAAGGCGAGACGATGGACATGACGGGAGACGACGGCTGAAGACCTCTCTCGGACCTCCCCTTCGTATACCCTTGTTGAAACTTACTATGCACACATATTACTCTGTGACTATTACAAGTGTCTGTCCACGACAAACCAACCCGTTCGAGATCGTGATCTCGTTACGCCTGCCTGACAAAAGTCGCGTCGACCTGACTGACTTGGGGGCATTCGAGGATGACTTTTCGACGGTACGCGGTGCCGAGTTCCTTCTGGAGCGGGTTGCCTTCGAGGTAGATTGTCGACAGGTTCGGGTGCGTCGAAGGCGGCAAGACTGGGATCGAGTGGAGGAGGTTGTCGTTTGCCTGCGAGCGAGCGAGTGGGGACGAGTATACGGGCGCGCGTGTGAGCGGGAGAGAGAGAGAGGGAGAGAGATGGGGCTTGTCAGGACGCGAGGAGAGGTTGGAGGAGAATTGAGCGAGCACAGCACGCACCCAAAACTCTTCGAGCTCGGTCAAGGGTGCCAGTTCTTCAGCTGCCGCCTCGGTAATCTTGTTGTTGCCGACATCCAAGGTTGACAGATTTTTCTGCAAGAAGGGGTGGCCGCCCGGGCGATGGCGGGGTCAGCAGACCGAGATGACTTGACACAGCATTCGAGCAGGAGGAAGAGGGGGTTGACGCACGAGATTCCGCAAGCCTTCGATGCGCGTGAGACCGTTGTGAGATAGGTAGAGCTCTTCGAGGTTGACGAGCGAGTCGAGTCCTTCGATCTTGGTCAAGCGATTGCCTGGCAAAGTGGTCCCCTCAAGATTAGCTCTCCCCTCCCGAACCGAACCGAATTGTCATAACGGCCCTTTGGTGAGCGGGAACGCACTCTGGATGCTGAGGGTGCGGAGGCCGGTCAAGCCTTCGAGGTTCTCGATCTTGGTGATTTTGTTCTTGCCGAGGAACAGGGACCGCAGGTTGGCCGAGATGGGCAAGTTTTCGATCGTCTGCAAGGTCGGTCGAAAGGGGGAGAATCAGTATCAGGATGGACCCGACGAAGAAGAGCTAGTTCCGAAGACTAGTTAAGTACTTACCCGTATGCGGTTCCCTCCGTATTCGAGGTAGGTGAGGCTGGTTCGATCCCGGACGCCTTGGATCTGGGTGAGCTTGTTCTGGATCAGGTAGAGGTGGGTCAAGTGCGGGTAGTGGTAGGCTGAAGTGGGCGAGGCGTCGTCCAAGGGGGCGACGGAGCGGAGGAGGTTGAACGAGAGATCGAGCGACCTGGGGGGCGGAGATCAGTCACAAGCCCACGCCAGGGGGGCGACGAGGCGGCGGCAGCCAGCCCGACTCACTGGAGAGCTTCGAGGCCTTCGAGTCCCTTGACGCTCTTCAAGCTGTTGTCGTACAGGTCGAGTTCCTCCAGCTCTTTCAAGTTGCGGAGCGGCCAGACGGGCTCTTCGCGCTCGGCGCGCGTCCGCTCTTCGTACGGAAAGTCGGCCTCCTTCTTGGCGGCGTCGTCGTCGTCGTGCGGGTCCTCGTCGACGTCGTCGCGGCGCTCTTGATCACGCTTGACGCTGCCGGAGGTCGAGGTCGAGGTCTCGGTGAGCGAGTGGCCTGTTGTTTCCTCGGCAGCGGCGGGGGGCGGATCGGGA